GCATGGAAGGTATTATCATAGAGAAAAATCACAAAAATAATTATGAAACAGAAATTGATTCGACAAAGCAAACCCTAATTCAACTTCTTAAAACGAATCAAAACACATGAAAAATGAGGACAAAATAGTTTACTAATTAAAGGAATAATTTTACTCTCTCTTTACAAAAAGGTGATGATTATACAAAAATGCAAGGAATCGTGACTATTGTATTGTGTTGTGATGCGGCCTCGCATTGCATCAACTCATCATATAAAAAATTTCATTATAATATCCTTTTTTTAGCACTAAAATGAGAGCCAAAATATTCATGGTGGAAATATGAAAAATGGGTGTCAATTTCAGCAATAAAGCAAGGTTTTCAAGTTATGCAAAAGACTATGCAAATCTCTAAGTGAATGAAATTGTCTGAAAAAGCCAAGAAGCTCCATATCATTCATTCTTTACAGCTACAATATATTGTTAGTGATTGATATGTGATATGAACAAAAAGATCCCAATAAAACCTCCACCACATATATATGAGAATCTATTCATTGGATAAGGGAGAAAACAAATTATGAAGTTAATATAAGCAAAGGCATATGAATCCAACAATTGTAAGAAAAAAACAATCCAACAATTACAAAAAAATTTTAATATGTAGTCCTTATGAATCTAGAAATTCTGAAGTAAATATAAGCAAAGGCATATGAATCCAACAATGCAACAATTGTAAGAAAAAAGTAGTCAAGCAATTATAAGAAAAAAATTAATATTTTGCCCATATGAATCTGGCAATCCAACAATTATAAGAAATAAACAATCTAGCAATTCTAAGAAAAAATAATAATATGTTGCCTAGTTAATTGAATTTCTATACTAATTTAATTCCAATCTAATGAAGTTAGTTAAGAATGAGTGGGATTACTTTACCTACTACCTTAACACCAAAAGACCAAACCTTAAAGCCATTCATTCCAAAATGGTAGAATTTGTTGTACCTATGATTTTGATGATTACAAAACACATTTGAGTGACTAATTGGTTCATTTAAGTGTGTAGTTAAATTGTCAAAAGATTGCAAAGTAAGTAAACTTGGATTGCATTAAAAATGAACCAAAAGGCTTGAAAAATGTGCAAAGAGCCAGCTCTTGAAACTTGTAGCCAGCTCTAGTGAAAGTGAAGTGCAGAGAGCCAGCTCTAAGAGCTACAGCTGGCTATGTAGGAGAAAAATTCAAGCCCATTGTTTGGCGCGCGTGGAAAACAAAGGCAAAGCTGGCTCTGACTTTGTAGCCGGTTGTAAGGGCGCATTTTAATGCCCAACGGTCGAGTTATTTGAAAATTAATTAATATTTTTAAAGTCAGAATCCCAAAGCCGCCTTTACATTTTGCAGTCGGCTATCCAAGAAAACAAAATGTGCAAGAAACTCGCAAAGCCGACTTCATGTTTTACAGCTGGCTTTATGGAGAAAACAGAATGTGCAGGAAACTCGCAAAGCCGACTTTATGTTTTGCAGTTGGCTTTATGGAGAAAATAGAATGTGCAGGAAACCCGCAAAGTCGGCTGCAAATTTCCTTCAGCCGGTTGTGCTAACAATTCTACAACTTGAATTATGCGTCCTGCAGAGCATTTAATGACCCCCAATGGCTAGAAACGGCTATTTTTGAGTAAGGGGTTATAAATATGGTTGGTAACAGATCTGGAACAAGTTTTTAGAGCATTGCATTGAATATCTTTACCTACCTACATGTGCTTTAACTTGAGTTTTTGATATTTGAGAGATCTTTACTTGTAATCCTCTTCTTGTTCTATTTGTGAGTGATCTTAGGGGTGTGATTAATCCTTCAAAAGTGATCTATAGAGAGGATTATTGGGGTTTATATTGTAAAGGGGTGAGGTTTGAGAGAAATACTCATCTTCTTGTAAAAGGATTGAGGGGCTTGTTTAGGCCATCCTTGTTCTCTTAGTGGAGAGTGTGGAGGAAATCCTTGGTGAGTGAGGCCAAGGTAGAGGACTAGGCTCCAAGTGATAGGACCAGGCTCCAAGTGATAGGACCAAACCTCTATAAAATCATCGACTGAGCTCTTCTTCTCTACTCTCTTTAATTTTGGTTTTGTGGTTGCAAAAGGGGAGCATTTTTGGTAGTCCAATTCACCCCCATCTTGGAGTACATTGAGTCAACAAAATCCATATGGAGTTTGTCATATTCTGCAGAGAGAAATAGAACATAGAGTCAATTCGTGTTGAAATAGAAGAAAGTAGTATTAGAAAATCAAATCTTTCTCGAGGTTGTCTAGAAGATCCAAGTCTTCTTCTTCAAAAACTATTCTTAACTTACTCCACAACTAGTCTTGTGCACAAATAAGGGTTTGTGCCATTCTTGGGGTCAGAGATCATCTAAGCCATCAAGAACTCTTCCTCTTGTGCTAAAAGTTGACTCAAAAGCAATAGTTGAAACCGAAAAAGCCAAAACATTTCTAGTCACTACTAACAAGATAGAGAACCTTGAAGCATTTAACTTCCACCATCCAAGTAAGTCAAAATCATCATTATCACCCTCAACATCCTCTTCCAAATACTTATCCAACTCAGTTTTTTCTGACATGTGCCCATTCTCAATTTTGAACCTCTTGTAAGCAAACTTAAGGTGTTGCTTGCTTTTATACTTGGGCTCACTTTCATTAAGTGCATCACTAACACTATAACTACCCTCTTGAACTATAGTTTGACCTTTTCCACCACCAAAAACCATTCTCTTGTACTCAACAAACAACATCTTCAATTCAAAATAAACCATTTTACCATATTGCATTCCTTTATCTTTACCATACACTTTCATCAATAAAAATTCAAGAAACCCTAATTTGTTCCTTGGATCAAGGACTATAGCATGGAAAATGCTTTTGTTCATCTCTATAGGAGTACCCCAATACTTGTGGAACTTTACTCTCATTGATTTTTCCATGTGTTTTACATCTGCATCTTTCTCCCAAGATTTCAGCAAACAATAAACCTTAAAATTCAATTAAAAGTAAAAATTAATTAATGAAATAAATGACAATTACGCTACAAATTAATCAAACTTAACACATATATGCTAGCATACACATATATATTTCTTAACACACAATTAATTTAAAATCAAACTTAAAAGATGTCAAGGCATTTGTAAGTTCAAGAAACAAACCTCACTAACTTCTAGGAAGAGAAGGTTGTTGGTAGTGTATAAATGACAATAAATCTTCTCAATCAAGTAATAAAAGTGCTCCAAGAACCTAACCACATTTCTAACATTTTCCCAATCAATACAAGATGGAAAACTAAGTGCATTTAGTCTATAATTCAATTCAACCTTCAAATCTTTATCACTTTAGCATATCTTCAAAAAAACAAAGCAAATTATTCATAATTCTTAAACAAAAATATAAATAAACTTAACCAAACTGAACAATCCAAAACAAAACTTATGATAGGAATTATACCTCTCAAGTGCCATATCATATTTTTCTGTAGTGTCCAACATCAAATACAAAGAATTCCACCTTGTGGGAACATCCAAGCAAAGCCATTTCTTTGTTTCAATATCTTTAAACTCAACAGCATCTTTGAATCTTTTTAATCTTAAAAGGTTTTATCTTACATATTTGACCGTAGCTCTAATGGCAGTTACACTCTTGTGCATCTTCTCCTCATTTATTCCATCACCAACTATAAGGTTGAAGATATGAGCTGCGCATCTTATATGCAGATCTTATGCACCTAAAACTGTTCTTTCCCATTTGCTAAGAGCATTCTTAAGAACCCTAACCACTCCACCATTTGATGATGCATTGTCC